ACCAGCTCCTGGTGTATTAGGAGGCAGATGCAGCTTGGCCTGTGTCTCTTGTCTCTGTGATTCAGGCGGGTACTGCAGCTTCCAGATGATTTCCATCCCTTGTCCCAGTTTGGGAGTGTGCCTTGGAGTGGGGGAGCTGGAGTCATTGACCGCTGACTGTGCTCTGTGAGGGTGAGAGGCTGACATGGGGCCCTGTGACACAACCTGTAGCATGACTGTGCTGTGAGCTGGCTCTCTGCCTGCTAGAGACAGAGATCCAGGAGGCCGGGAGGTGGCCCTGGAAGTCGTGGGGGTGGCAGCGGACAGAGCAAGAACACAGTTCAGTCCCCGAGAGACTGGGTGACAGCTTTGCCACTTTGTGCCATGCATACCTCTTAGGATTATGTGATGGTCCAGGTTACTTGCTTTTAATTTGCTTTAAACATTTGCAGAGGAAAGTGTGAAAACTTAGATGCTAAAGTTTTAAATATAAATTAAAAATAAGCTTCAGATATGCTGTGCGTTTTAACTTACTATTTTTAAATAGTTCTTTTAGGGGATTGTTGTAGTAAGTCTAGCTCATGATTTTTTTTGATCACCTTGGGGTTGGCAATACTGCAGGTTTCTCAGGTCAAACAAGAAGGGATCCTGTTGGACAAGAAGAGCAGAAGCGAAGAGCAGTAACCTTCCTGAGAAACGCCAGGGTTTTCTGCATTGCAAAACTCCATCTCCTATCATTCATCTTGTTGGAACAGTTACTCAAGCTCCGTGCTGTTTTAAATCTGAGGCCCAGCCGCCTGTCTAGGTTGGGCCAGTCCTGACAGCCGTGAGGGCTGGTCCTGCCTGCCAGGCCTGTGTCTTCCATGGGTCTCGCCATGGATAAGTTGAGGTCTTCATGCTCCATCACTTAAGCCACGGAGTGTCCTGCATGTGGGATTGAGCCTCTACCGCCAGCTGAGCGGTGCTGTGGAGCAGCCCAAGGAAAGAGCCATGGTGCTGCTGCCTAGCTGGGTGTGCTCTGCCTCAGGTGCTCTCCAGGACAGGAGAGGTTCATCCCCACAGGTAACACTCTTCAGCATCCTTCCTGCTGCAATGCTGCACCTCCATCAACCTGTAAGCCCTGAGCAGCTTTCTTAATTGAGGCTGATACGGCTGGACAGGGTTGTAGGGTTGCTTTAAAAGTTAATACATTTCAGAGTTCATTTCTTCTGTTGCCTGCAATTTGACTTCGTCAGATTTCCACAGTTCAATTCACTGAACTGCGACAGTGCCTTGTCCTTAGAGGAGTAGTTTATTTCAGTGCTAGTGTGGAAAGAATCAGTTGGGGTAAAACATTCAATCTTCCTGCTTTGGCCTCATAGATTTTGCACCAACTTTGTCTTTTTCTCACTCTGTGTAGCAGCTTTTTTTTTTTTTTTTTTTTGTCTGAAGACGGCATCTGAAAGCAAGTAGAACTTCTTGACCCTCTAAGTTTCTTGAAGTGCATTTGATCAAATAATCAAATATATCTTTCTTGCAAGATGTTTTGTGGAATAAGGAGTATGCCTAATTGTACAGCTTCTCTGTGTTGATACCTAGGAGATCTTGGGTCTTGGAGCATGTAAAGAAACAGATTTCCCAGATCTGAAGACCATCCATTGGGATAAATGCCAATTGCTTTATCCAATGATTGTTTTCTAACACTTGATTTTCCTTTTTAAAAGACATAGTAGTAGCTGTCTTTTTTTTTTTTTTTTTTTTTTTTCCTAATCTTGTCCAGTCATTTGTTCCCTACCAAGTTCAGGCTTGTTGGGTCCTGCCCACGGAACCTCTGGTGTTCAGCCATGGCTAAATGCTAGTCATTACAACCCTTGCCAATTCAATACTGCAGAGAGCAAGGGCAGCAAGAGGGGAGGGAGGCACACGGCAGGCAGAGCCAGTGAGCTGAGCACGGGCTTTACTTTGCCAGAGGCCGTGACCACTTCCAGGAGGCGTGTGGGCTGCTGGAAACTGCTCCCTCCTAATGCTCCCTAATTTCATTTCTCCCTTTGTCTAAACTCAAAGGACCAGCCAATTCCATTTGCAACATGCACCATTCACTCTGGCTGGTCCTAGCATCCCTCATCCCCTCCAGTATTTAGGATGCACATGAACACAACAAGGTGTTAATATCCTTAGACTTTGCAAGTGTGAATTTCCTTCTGAAATTACTTAAATGGGGGCCTGATGTTTCCAGAGTAGCAAACACATGAGTGTTAATTTCTCTTCTCATGAAGTAACCCCCTGACCTTGCGAGGGATTTTATTTTATTTTATTTTATTTTATTTTATTTTATTTTATTTTATTTTATTTTATTTTATTTTATTTTATTTTATTTTATTTTATTTTATTTTATTTTATTTTATTTTATTTTATTTTATTTTATTTTATTTTATTTTATTTTATTTTATTTTATTTTATTTTATTTATTTGCCAGGGGGGTAGCCCTTTAAAATTCAGGTCTCTGTCCTCAGGAGACCTTCTAAACTTCCAGGACGAGTTTTCCGACGTGTGTTGCCATCCGCTGCGCTGGATGCCTGGGGCTGGACGGGTGTCCCTCCCTCGGAGGAGCCGGGGGCCATGTGCTCCCCCGGGACAGAAGCCGGGACACCCGGCTGGCGCGGGCCCGCGCACGCTGGGGCCGCTTGGCTGGCGCGCAGCTCCATCCACCTGGGCTCGTGGTGCTTTCCAGACCCAGCTTTCCAGGCCGAGCGCGGATGCAACCCCAGTGTGAGGTTGGTGAAGAGCCGGGAGGAAAAGCGTTCCCAATGCCGACACGAGCCAAGCTGGTCACCGCTGCCACGTGAGGCGTTGGGAGGGGAGAAGGGCCCCCAGTGGGCTCCTCTTTGGGACGTGGAGCTGGGCGGACGCTCTGCATTCCTGTGCCAGGAGGGGAGCCACCTGATTCCTGCCGGCCCTAATTCAGGGAAGGGAGCCGGAGTGGAAACGTCGGCCGCCCTTTGGCAACGCTCACGTTGTTGCATGCTAATTGTGCCGGGCGACCGGCTTCTATCGGAATGGCGCGGGGGCCGTTTGCAGAGCAGCGTGGAAGCGTTTCTGAGCGCCGGGGACCGTGGAAACCCCTGCGCGTTGCCGGCCCCGCCGATGGGGCTGCGCTCTGCCGGGCTGCTCGTGCCCAGAGCCGTCCCTCCGGGCGGCCGCTCTGGCTGCAGAGCCGTCCCTGTCGCTCGGACCTGCCTGCTCGTACTGTAAGTGCCGAGTGGCAGAGAGCTGGCGGGATGCTCCTGGCCCCTGGACATGTCGAAAAGGGCCCTGTAGTGCCCAGGCGGGGGTTTTGCTCGCTGAGCTGGTGCGGGGGTTGGCAGCGGCTTCCTGGCTGCTGGCGGCTGCAGCCAGGCTGCTTGGCGAGGCGCCGGCGCTTGGAGCGGGCAGCCCCCCGGCAGCAGCCCCCATGGGCTGCCTCGCTGCAGAGGGGCCTCTGCCTCCGCGGGAGTGAAGGGGAGCTTCTTGGCACGAGCCCTCAAAGAGGGGGGGCCATCTGGGGCTCAGGAGGCTGCTGGGGGAAGGTGAGGGGCGATGCTCGCCTATCCCAGGGCTGCCTGTCCTCTTGGCAGCAAAGCACCGGTGACCCTCTCCGGTCACTGTCCCCAGAGGCAGGGAAAAATCCATGTGCACATCTCCTCATTTATTGGCATGCTCTCTAAATTGTTCGCCTTGAGCACGTCTCCTTCTCGCCCCTGCCCATCCTCGACCTGAGACCGCTCTCACAACATCCCCACAGCAGCTGGGTCTCTCTTGCAGCACTACCCACGCTCCGGTATTTCACCCGTGCAAAGAAGGCGAGGAAACCTCCAAAGGAAGCTCTGCTGGGGAGGGAATGCTCCCACGGCTTGCTGTAAAGTAGAGGGAGGCTTGACAGGGCTGGCTTCCCTCAGCCCTCTTGGGGAAAAAACCCTGTGCAGAATCTGAGCATGTGTCTAAATAGCGTTTGTAGGACCCAGCCAAGGAGGAGAGGCTTCGGCTTCAGTGGGGCCTCTTCTAACTCTGGCTGCCTCTGTTGTTCACCCTGAGGGTCTGGGGACGGGGAGCGGGGCCTCGGAGCAAGGCCCGCGTTGTGACCTGTTGTCACGAGCAAATACCGGGGGATCCGTCGCGGAGCCTTTCCAGCTGCTCCCTCCGCCAGTCTTGCTCACGGGCCGGCTGTTGGAAGGCAATTAAAAGCGGTGACAATGGTAACTGAGTAAGGGTGCTTGAGGAGAAGGATGACCTCATGTCTAAAATGGTAATGAGGCCTATTAAAACCTGCACCAAAAAAAAAAAAAAAAAAAAAAAGAAGAAAAGAAAAGAGGGAGCAGAGGCAAAGCAAAGGTGGTGCAAGAGGAGCTGCTGCAGACAGACACAGTACCTGAGAGCAAGAGCGCCGGGAGAGGTGAGAAGCCCAGAGATGTTGGGATTATAAATCTGCTTAATAAACAGGCTGCTCCTGAGCTAGCTGTGCTGCTGCTCACACCAAACCAGCTAAAGCACTTTCGGATATGTTTAATTCAAGCATGCTCCTTCCCTGTTTGCCTAGGTTTGGGCTACGTGAAGTGAGGGCAACACTTGTTGCTGGGTTTTGCCCTTTGTTATTTGCTGGGACGAAATGAACTCTCCAGGAAACCAGCAGCAGCTGCCAGCTCCCCATGAGGGAGCTGCAAAGAAATGCCCTTAAAATCTACTGCTGTGGGATAACTCTGGAGCAGAAGGCGAGTGCCGCAGCTTGTGGGGCTGCTGGGTGCGTGTGCGGCCCCACAAGTGTCTCCTTCCCCACGTGTCCTTCATGGGGGGAGCAGGAACATGCGCCGGGGCACATCCCGTCCATGCAGGTGGGCTCCGTGGGGCGGTGGGCCCCCAAAGCGCCACTCACGCTGACCCTGCGCGCTGGTTTTGGCAGGCGGCGCAGCCAGGCCCGGGCTGGACCCCGCGTGCGGATGCTCCGTGGGCCAGCCCTCATCCTCCTGCCTGCTGAGAGGATACAGCCGAATGAAGGCTAAGGATGTGCTATGGAGCCGGGATTAAACTGCTCCGACCTGTGTGAGGGCAACTCCAGCTTCGGCAGCCAGGAGCCACAGCAACGGACCCTGCAGGAGCTCTGCACCGTGACAGTCGTACGTACGGAGACGGGGCGGCTCTGGAAAAAGGGGCTGGATCCCCAGAAATGAGCCCGAGGGAGGGATGGATGGGGGAAACGAGGCACATAACAGCAGAACGCGCCCTGCAGCCAGCGGGTGAGTGACGGCCTCCGGAGATGGCCTCTCCAGAACATTCCTAGATAGCACCCCACCACTAGCCAGAGGCCAAGGAAGCAGCTGCAGAGCAGGACAGCCCAGCTGTGCCCAGGAGTCCTCCCGGGCAAGCAACATGGAAAATCCCCTGGGAGCAGACATGATGTGCCTGTCTGTGCCCTTGGCCTCCTGCATTCTCCCCAACTCCGAGTGCTTTTCGAGTACTAAGAGAGAGGATTTAATTAAAAGCCAACCCCTATAGTAAATGGTACTTCCTTCCCCACTACCTAAGTCAGTAGCAATGACACAGGGATGCACCTCTCTGCGATGGGCTCCGCGTGAGCCTGCTGCATGGACCAGCTAGGCTTGGATTGCTTGACTTGCCACTGCATCCTGTGTGGACCTTTAATGAGACGAACATAAGCTGCTCGGCTCCCCTGGCTCTGGCAGCTTTGTTGCAATTAATATTCTCCCTGCTGCGGCTGGGGTTTATGCTCTGCTCAGCTGCAAATGAAGCGCTCCATCAACTTCAAGCATTCAGAAACCACGGACATCCAGGGAAACAGTAATCAGTCTGTGTTGGTGTGTGTGTGTGTGTGTGCGCGCACGTGTTTGGAAAGGAAAGGTGAATTGCAGCTCCCTGGGTGACTCCTTAGAGGAACTTGCAGTGATGTTTTAGGCTGCAGCCAGAGGTAAAACGATACTGCTGTGACACTAGGTCAGTCAGGGTGGAGAAATTGGATGGTGCTGCAGCCTCTTACTGACCCTGAACAGCCGTATCGGCCTCTCTGGGCTGCTGGTAACTGAGAGGATGGCCATGATTTATGCAGCAGAATTAGTTTTTTTGTGTTTTTTTTTCTGATTTTTTTTTTTAATAGCCAGTTCTAGAATCAGGTGAGTGGGGTCAGCTTGCCTCACCATCTGGGCTGCCTGCTGTGGTTTCATCTCCCAGAAAGCCAAAAGCCCTTTCCCAGCCAGTCTGGGGGAGAGCGGTGGAGAAGAGGCAGGGAGCAGTTCGGAGGCGGGAGATGAACATCTCCGCAGGGATCCCACTGCTCTGCTCCGAGAGGAGGCCGAGCCACCTGCATGTGCAGCTGCACCCCAATAATGCGTCAGGGGTAGCAGCTGCTCTTGGCGGTCTGTCTTGCTCAGCCCAGGTTTGCAGCACCCAACAGTCGCCGTCGTGGGGAGCAGAGCCCAGAGCAGCTCCAGCACCTCAGCTCTACTCCAACCCCTTATGAGCTCTCCATGGAGTGACATGGACCAGCTGTGAACTTCCAAGCTGCAGTGCAAGCACTTCTGCTGGAGCCCAGCAATGTGGCCAAACTACAGCAATGTCCCTGAAGTGACTGACTGTGTAGGGGGTTCTTTCTCAGTCTCCAGAATTGCTCTTTGCACATTTTTGTTTTAGTTTTAAGTTTTTGGTATGCCACAATATGTATCCAGCTGTGGCAGAGGAACCTGACTTCTCCTCTCCCTCCGTAAACATTGCCTGATTTCCCCCTGCAAATTTATTTCTTGTGATGCTGGAAGAAGTAGGAAAAGATCTTGAAGGAAGAACTGAGGGTGTGTGGCAATGGTAGCTGTTAGAAAAATATTCTCTTACTATACAAACTGAGTGCATGTGATCTGGAATATTTGAGAAAGGGTTTAGACAGCACCTCTGAGGATGTTTTTCAAAGGGTAGATCCCCACATAGGGTATCTCAATGTTCTGTGTCTATCTTCTGACGAGAGCCACACTGATAAACATGATTGTAGTGACTGTGTATGCACTGAGCTCTGGAAGATGAGATGGGCTCTTTCCATCCCATGTATTATTCCTCAGCATGAGACCTTTAGTCTATTCAAAGTCACATAGCTTTCCATGAGCTGGTGTCGGGGTAGCACTGCAGAACTTAGTGAGCAGGTGTGTGCTCACAGCTCTGTGCTCTCCTCATCCTTCCCCTTCAAGAGGTTGTACTGACTTTTAAATAGAAGATCTGTAAGTAACACGCTCACATAGTATATGTGGACAAACCTAAGCTTGCACATCACATTAAAATTGCTGGAATAGTTTAGATCCAAAGTGGAAGTAAGATTCTTCCCCTTTTTAATAGAAGCAGAACAGTCACTGTTGTTAAGTGGTGATTTAAAATGATAAGATCTCCTTTAAATCTTGAGGCGCAGTAATAACGCGAACCTGAAAGAAGAGCAAATTTGAAGTAAGCATCTCTGTCCAAAATAGAAAGCGAGCACAAAGCCCCAGGAAAAAAAGTCCACTTGTTCCCCCCGTTTCCCTGGTATGCCAGTCAGCAGTCTCGGCTGTCCAGTGGCAAGGAAGAGAAGCAGCATTTTGGGATGGTTTTTCATAGGCACTTGGTAAAAGGCCTGTCCTGCACCACGGCTCAGGGTAACTCATGGCCCATGGTCTTGGTGCAAGCTCTGGCTCTCCCACCTTAGACCTGACACGAGAGCCAGGTCTCTCCCTCTGTGTCCTGGTGAGGTACTGGGTCCCTTCTCTCTCTTTTTGCTTTGTTTTGTTTTGTTTTGTTTTTGTTTTCTGCACCAGCTGACAGCTGTATTGCTGACACCTGGTAGAATTAACCAGCTAGTTGTCTGCTGGGAGGTGGGGGTAAAGGACGATTTCTCCTAGACATAGGAGAAGTCTCCCTGCCTTTCTTTCCAAAGAAGTGAGCTAGGAATTGGAGACCTGCAGGATCCTTTTCCAGAGGGTCCTTACCTGAGATTCACTGGCTTCCTCCCAGCAATGGTTAAGAATACTCTCCTGGTTTCCTCTCTCTCATAGCCAGGACCACCTGAGTTATGTGTGTGGCTTCGTGACCCATTTGGATACTCACCTGTAAGAAGGGAGGGCTCCCAGAGCTTTTCCAGAGGGAAGTATGTTTTGAATGTGGTGGGATTGCCCTCTCCTGTGTGTTCTGCATGGGCTGAGTACAGCAGAGCTCGTGTCCTGTCTGTGCACAGCTTATTAGTCCTGTCAGCACAAGGACGTCTGGTCATGGCGAGGGGTTGGAAGATGTGCTTTCAAGTCCCTTCCAGTCCTTCAGGAGGATACATGCAAGAGGGCATGTCAGGGAGCAGATCTCTTTTTCTGGGAGCCCCCACGATGCCCCCTTCCTCCTCACCCCTTTTGCCTTTCCTCAGACATCTTCTGACCGCAGTGGGAAGAGCTCCCCGTCCTTCTCTGCTGCTCTCTTGGGAGTTGTGTGGACATTCCTGACAGGAGGAGTCCTGCTGGCCCTCTTCTTTCTCGTCTTCACAATTCGCTTCAGGAAAAACAGGTAAGAGCTTCCCTCTTCCACCGTGAAACTTCTCACGAGCTGGGGCAACAGGGTCAGGTTCCCACAGTCCCAGGGTAGGAGCTGATGGTCAGCTAAGGTCAGGAAGGTACAACCCTGGAGAAACAGTTCTGGGCAAGTAAGAGCAATCCCTGGGGATGTTGTGGCTTTCTCTGTCATATCCTGTCTTGACCTCTGCTGGAGTCAGTCCTGTTTGGACTATGAGTCAGCCTCCTTGAGGCCGGGAGCTATGGACAAGGCAGAGCTTCGAGGACCCCCGCACGTCGTAGGCTGCAGCTGTTGGAAGGGTCTTGTGAGGGAAGAGCCTGCCGTTCCCTGGCCCCTTGTGGCTGGAGCAGCAGTGCCTGGTCTCATCTCCACGATGGGACTGACCCAAGCATCAGCAGGAGAGCAGAAAGAGAACTGGTCTGCCTCTCCGTGCCACGAGCTGTGCGAGCAAAGCCATCAGAGCTGCATGAGCAAAGCCATCACGCTCTCCACAACATGCACGTTTGCTTCCTGGTGCTGGACCCGTCATGGTTTGAAAATATGGCTAAGCTTTCTGGATCCAGATAGGTGGGGAGTATGGTCTGTGTTGCTAAGAGACCTGGATGGTGACATGAAGGCTTTCCATGGTATCATTCAGGCTGTGCAAAGGATATAAAAGGTCCAGGTCCCCTGAGTGCCACATAAATCAGTCAGTTCAGTGATTATATTCATATATGCATAGCTAGCTCAAGCACCCTCTCAGCCAGCCCTCAGCCTGAAAGCTTGCTTTCCTAGTCTCCCCTAGCAATTTTGAGTGTGTTGCCTGCCTCCTTGCCACCTTCTCCTCAGTTTCGTTGGCCTCCTCTCTTCTTTCTCCCATTCCCATTAGGTGCACACATCTCCAGCTTTACTTAAAGCCTTTGTGCTCTGTGTGCCTTGCTTTGTACGGAGACGTGCATCTGCATATATCCCAGGCTGCTCCTGTTTTGGTGATCTGGTTCTGTTAAGGAACGTGATGCTCCTTATAACTGCCTTAAACTCAGAAAACTCCTGTACATGATGGTTTTATCTTGATTCCTGCGTCCATTTTGCTGCAGTAGCTGCACAGTCTGTCTCCAGGTCTCAAGCATTTAATTTATCGGAGCAGATCGGTGTTGAGCTCTGTGGCCATCTTATTTGATTACAAAATTATCGAGGCCCCCAAAGAGGTTCTCGGAGTGCAACTGTAATGAACGTGCGTTCCTTCTTTGCACCACAGCAAACAAATGCTGCTCTGCCTGCTGAATGCAGAGGCGACCTTTGCCAGCCCGCAGCTGAGACCGCAGTCTGATTAATGTCTTTCACCAGGGGGAGAGGCATGATGAGGAGGCAGGCAGGGAGGGAGCTGCATTGAGTCTTAGGCTCTGTGTCACTTCAGAGGTAGCAAGAATCGGTAGGGAGTTCAAGGGAGAGAAAAGAAATTAGTAGCAGAAGATGAAGGGCTGAATCTGTGCAGAGGGAAGAGAGGAGCTTAGGCTTTTTGCTTGGTGGGAGCGGTGGGGAAGGGTGACAGGTCTGTGGAGATCAGTGGTTTGGCTCTCCTTCCTGAATGCAGTTGCAAGATTATGAGTAATGGCAAGAAACCTCCCCCAGCCGCATTAGAGCCGTTTCCCGCTCTGCTTCCCGCTGCCTCGCGGCAGAGGGCAGTGCCGGCAGCTGCTGGCCTGGCGCGCGGGAAGCGGAGCCACGCACCGGGCCGCGGCTCCCGGCGGGATGCAGGGCCAGCGGCCACACGGCAAGTTTGGCCTGGCACGAGCATAGGTAGCACAGGGGCTGGGGTGGCCAGAGCCTCCCTGGTGTACTTGGTGGCCAAAGCCCATTGCTTGCCGTCGTTTTGTCCATAAGGACGCCAGCTGAAGCTGCTCCAGTTAGGCTTTCCATGCCACGGGCACGTGCAGGGCATGCACTGGGCCATGGGACCAGTTCATTACCCATCTGTCTGGGGGAGATGGGGTCTTGCTGCCCCACAGGAGTGCTGGGATGGGGCAAAACGAGTACTTGAAAGACAGGGAAGCACCCTAGAAGTACTGGGGAGGGGACGGGGTACACCATGAAGCAGGGCCTGAGCTTTCCAGGGAGCTGTGAGCATGGGCGGCTGGGGCAGCGAGCCAGGGAGGTGTCCCTTATAGCCGTCATCATCCATGTGAGGGGACCTTGCCCCCTTGCTGCCAGCTCATGGCGCTCAGTAACTGTCACTGCCTTCCCTGCTTTGTTTCCCGGAGGATTGTGAAGATGTCCAGCCCCAATCTGAACATTGTGACCCTGCTGGGCAGTGGCTTGACTTACTCTAGCGCTTACCTCTTTGGGATTCAGGAGCAGAGCCTGCTGTCCGGAGACTCGGTGGAAATGCTTATTCAGGTGGGTGATTTGCTGGGATGAGTGTTTACGTGCACGTATGCTTGCCCACGCTCTTCCTTACGGTAGGTCACCATCCAGCTCCTGGGCACATTTGACCGAGTGATTTCCACCTATACAAAATGATATCTTACATCTGCAGAACCTCCTTTATTTGATTTTTGGAAAGCCAACAGCACAAGGAGGAAAGCAAGTCAGGTCTCCACGGGAGGGAGCAGTGCCCACAGCAGCTGCCCCCACAGAGAGCCAGACAGACTACTTGGCTTTTAAATATAGAATATGGAGGCCAGCACGCGAGCTTCTCAGGTGCAGATCTTTGCAGAAATGCCGGCTGGTGTGATGGATCCCCAGCTCCTGATGTGGGACACGCTGCTTTCAGACCAGGGACTTGGCAGTGACCCAGCGAGGGCAACGGGATGTGACGCAGAGATGCTGAGAAGCAAGGTCCTGCTCAGCCATCTGGGTGGAGATAATTAACAGAGATGACAGTGATTTATTGTCACTTCGACCCTCTGTGCAGCTGTCACTCTCAAGCTGCCCGGCTCTCACTCCTCTGACAAGAGCCTTTCGAGGCAGAGAGAAAGAGGCAGGGATTTCTGCCAAGCAGCTCCCTCCTGACTGCCTGTTTGCTCCTGCCACCTCTGCTCTGCATCCTGGATATGCTGCTGTTGTCTCCACATGGGTGGACTGCAGCGGCATGGGTGTATATGAATTTATTTTACCCCGTAGCCGCCTCTCTAGTTACCCAACATGGCCCTCCCGAAGCCAGAGCACCATAGCTCCATCCCCACCGTGTCCTTTTATCCCATCTTTCGGGCAGATCCTCCTGGCCAGGAACAGCCCAAGCGCCGCTGCTTCCTCCCCACCTCGCTGCCCTCCCTCCACAGGTGCGGCTCTGCTTGCTGTGCGTCGGGAGCTCCCTGGTGTTCGGGCCTGTCCTGGGCAAAAGCTGGCGGCTCTACAAAGTGTTCACCCAGCGCGTGCCGGACAAGCGGGTGGTGAGTACCCGTGCCAGGGCGCTGAGCTGCCCCGTGCCGGTTCCCTCCCTCTGCGAGGCGCCTGCACGGGGGAGGCAGCAAGAAGGAAGGGAAAAAACACTCTGCAGCAGAGGGACGAACTCTAGGAAGTCCCAAAGCGCTTTGGAATAACTGATAAGGCTGGCGAGTAATGGGGAAGGTGGGAGACGGGGATGCAAGAAGCTGGATACCACAGTTTGCTTTCATTACACAGCACGTCAGTGTTTATGTCCAGGTTTGGACTGATTGCTTTTGGGAGATGAAGATAAGCCAGGAACTTCAAGTATCTTCTTGGATGTGGGGTAACCCCCAAGTGCTTCTGATATTTTGGGTGAAGGGAGGGAGCACTGGCTACTCTCCCACAGGAAAGAGAAAGGGAAAACATTAGCTGTGAGGAAAACGAGAGCCACCTGTATATTCTTATTCATGTAAGAGCAGGTTTGCCGTGCACAAAGGCCATTTTCCAATAGGGAAAGAAATGAGCCTTAGGGGAAAAGTGTAATGAGAGGGTTCGCAGAGGAACAGAGCACAGGCAAGGACTGCCATTACTGAGGGATCTGAGGTCCATGTTAGATTTGCAATATAAGCTTTTATTTTCACTCTTTTTCTTTCTGCCTGTGATGTAGGTAAGTAGATGATGCTTCTGTTTTGTAAATGCTTTTTTTTTTTTTTTTTTGGAGATGCTCTGAGAGCATCTGGGGATGCTCTGAGAGCAGGGCGTTTCCCAGCTAGCCGCATAGTTGGTGAGAGTTTATTCATGGCCCCAATTCTGATTGGGTCTCCAGGAGTTTTGCAGACAAAGATAGTGATCTATATCCACTTGAATACAGGGGACCTGTAGGACTCCCTGTAGGACCTGGGCGAAGCATCCAGGTAAGCATGTCCCTTGGAAGAAAGAAGCAGAAAGAGGTCCATGGGGAAGGAGGTTATTGGTGTCTCCTTGCTCCTGACTATAGCACTTTCTGCATGTTCCTGCAGATTATCAAAGACCTCCAGCTGCTGGCGATGGTGGCAGCGCTGGTGCTGGCAGATGCCGTGCTGCTTCTGACGTGGGTATTCGCTGATCCAATCCAGTGTTTCCGAAGCCTCAGCGTCTCACTGCGGGTAAAGGGATAAGGAGAGGTGGGGGAGCATCGTGGTGTGTCCTGTCTGATTTCTGTGCAAATGTGGGTGCATGGTCAGGTACTTGGTGGTAGGAGAAATCAAAGGAAAGGAAGGAAGACATGAAGGAAGATGGATTCAGAGGTCTCCTTTACCAAACAATAAAGTCTAGTGATGACCTTGACCAAGCTGTGCTGGTCACCTGGTTGGCAGGGTTGAGATCCATGGCATCTGCAGATGATTAACCATGTTTAGGAAACCTGGATGTTAATCATCTGGGTTTGTCATGTTGGTAGATGAATATCAAAATCTTTCTTCCTTTAACTCTCCGCCTCTGGCAGCACCAGTTTTGGTGCTTCTCTTTTGGGATTTTCAGAGGAGAGCTATTTGTGACTGTAGAGCTGTCTGTCTGTCCCTGCTCCCGGGCAGGCAGAGCAACCTTCACTTCTGTGTTCCCTTTGCCTCCTAGGTGACAGAGAAGGGCATGACGTGTTCCGTGAGCCGGATGCAGTCCTGCGCCTCTCTTTACGCTGACCTTTGGCTCATTCTCATTTTAGGGTTTAAGGTGCGTAGCCTCTTTATTGATTCTTGCCTCCTATCTCACCTCCTCCCAGCTTGATGGCAGCAGCATCTGCAGTTTCATGGCCCTCCCAGCCTATGTGCATATTGCACATATCTGCTGCTCCTGATAAGTAATGAAAGTCCTCCCATCTCCATTGCTTGCCATCTTGATGCTTCCTTGCATTCTCCATAAAATCCCTAACTTCTTTCCTGCCTCTCTATCTTTTCTGCATGAGCTTGAACACACTCTCTCTCTAGTTCTCTCCCTGTAAACTCTCACATCTCATCTATACACCATCTTAAAGCTTGTGTCTTTATATTCCCCAAAGTTCACTTCTTCCATAAGGCCTCAGATGACTGTCTGCTACAGAGATGTAGTATGTAGTTGAGACCCTGAGTCCTCTGAGCATAAATCCAAGAGGTGCAAGTGAGAAGTGCTTGGTGTCTAACTTGAGGATGAGCATCAGCTTAATTATAACAGTGAAATACACTTTCACTGATGTAATTTGTACGTGGCCATTCTTATTCCATCAGAGTTAGTTATACGGATATAACTATGTAGGTATAATTACAGCAGTAATTATCTGTGCTCTCATGTGTTCCTGGGTTGGCAGAGGTTAGAAGCGTTTCAGAAAGCTGATTTTGATGAACCTTATGAGATCACGGCTTCTTTGTGAATGACTCAATCTGTATGCAATACAAGCAGTTCCTTTCTGACTCATTATAATGTAATATACATCGACCGTCTACCAAGAGTCATAGGGAAAACAGCAGCAGGAGACCTCAGGACACTGTCAAGTCCTTCTCCTGCTCCAGCTCATCTTAGAGACATTTGTCTAACCCATTCTTACAGGGCTAGGAATTGTAGACCTTCCTTGGGCTGCCTGTTTCAGTGCTCCTTCCCTGGCTTTGCCTCTAGTTTGTATGAGGTTTCTTCAGGTTTTAGGTGGGTAATGCTTGTGTCTACAACTGCTGCAAACTCCATTCCTCTCGTTCAGAGTAAGACGTGCCCAGCTATATCTTCTCTTCATGGTGTTGCCTTGAACCTGACTCTGATCCTATCTACTTGGTTTCACAGCAGAACTTCTTTAGTGGTTCCTCTGGAGCTAACGTGGATTGACAGTAATGTACAAGTAGGTTTCCCTGTGAATGAATGTAGCACTTCTTATCTTCCACGACATTAATATGCTAAGCCCTTTGTGAAGCCACTCACTATATTATCCTGGTTTTACAAGCCCAGAGCAATGAACAGAAATTACTTGCCAATGTCACACCTTGAATTATGAGCAAAGTCCTTTGCTCAAGATTAAAATAAATAAAAAAATAAAGCATAGTCCTGTGCTTATTCTCCAGTGTCAAAGTCCTGGTTAAGTAGATAGCACTGCTTTGTCTGTGTCCTCGCAGACTGTAAGAGTTTTCAATGGGACTTGGGTGTTTTTTTTTTCTCGCCCAGAGACTGGTAAGTGGCTTGTCCTTGGGACATGTATTTGGAGGTGAATGTGGTTATGAACTAGTGCTGATCCCACACATCAGATTTGGGTCTCAGCCTTGCTCCCAGCAAGACAGGTCACAATTCCTCCTTGGGAATTACTGGTGCTGCTACATTGGGAGTTTCAGTACAAGGGCCGTGGACATGAACCTCTCTTGCTCAAAAGAGTGTAGGCTGAAGAACATAACCCTGAAGTGACCATTGAGATCATCAAATCTTGGGCCTTACAGCCACAAGATAGAGCGATCTAGGACAGGCTAAAAAGCATCTGGTACACAAGTCACAGAGAATTTCTTGATGCTTTTTAATATCTGTTGGTAAAAGACTTAAAAAGCCTTTTATCTTTATTTATCTATTTACTTTCATTTGTCTATATTACGTGCCATAGGAAAAATGTAGGAGACGTTCTTGATACTCTCAGTCCTTGCATGAGCAGGGAATTTGTTAGGCAGTATTTCCAGACTATCCTAAAAATAGTACCTAGGCTATGCTACAGAGGAGGGCAAAAAATAGTCAGTGTTTCCTACCAGTCTGACCTGGTGAAGGACAGAATTCCTTCCTGACCTGCAATCTAGTGATTAGCTCACTCCGAGCTACGCTGGGAATATGCACCAGGGAGGCACTTGAGAGGCAGTGTGGTAGGGAAGTCTGTCTGAAACAACCAACCTGCTTTTGAGGAGGGAAGATCTCTGTGCACAGAGCATTTTTTTAACACCTTTCACCACCACTAGATGCAGGAAAGAAACTGTAAAGGGCAGGGAAAAGAACAGTAGTCCCGAATCCCAGGAAAATCCCAGCAGTTCCCTGGATTTTTGTTTAAGGAGGCGTCAGCTACATCTCTTTCCCCCTGAGAGTCTGCAGCTTCTGCCTTGCTTTTTCCTTGTCTAGCTATCTCCATTCTGCTCTATCAGTATTACACTGTTGCTTTTTGATGGCAGAGTGGGGTTTTGGTTTGGTTGGTTAGCTGGTTTGTTTTTCCTCTCTGCTTCCCTGAAGTGATTTCTGTCTGTTGTCTCCCTGTCTGTCCGTGGTGTTCCCATCCCAGCACTCTGGAGGGAATATTTCCCTCGCGCGCTCCTCGCGTGTCCTGGCTGTGGGTGGCACTGCCTGCCAGCCTCCTCTTCAGCTCCCGCTCGGGTGCTGCTGGCGCCCCTCAGCCAGGACCCCCGGGGCCTGCCGGGCACTGCCCGTCGTGCCAGGCAGCCTGCGTGGCACCTGCAGCAGCGTGCTGGGTGGCTGCTGCAGAGCTACCAGCGCGAGCGCAGAGTCTGCATTATAGATCAAAGAGCATTAATTAGGGTTGTACTGAATGTATCCGAGCAATCTTAGCTCAGCATGAAGTGGGGGTTGGCTGTGTCAGGCTGTAATTTTCCACAATTTGGAAATCTTCTCTGAACTTTTATGTTTTTTTCCTGAACTGTTTTCTGATTCCAGAGTATCCTGTTGCTGTATGGGACATACTTGGCCGGTCTGACCGAAAACGTCAGCTCTCCACCAGTCAACCAGTCCTTGACGCTCATCGTTGGGGTCAACCTCATTTTCCTGGCTGCTGGGACTGTCTTCTTAGTTCATCGCTTCTTCCACGCTTGGCACAACCTGCTGTTTGGTTTCACCTCTGGGGGCATCTTTGTGTGTACAACGACAATCAATTGCTTCATTTTTGTCCCACAGGTATGCAGCCTCTGTTCAGAGAGCCACTTGGAAATGGGCATGCTTGGGGGGTAGCAGCTGTAGAGGCCTAAGCATTTATTTTTCCTGCCTTTTATTATTTTTTTCCCTAAATATTCAGGCAAAGCTGCACAGCTCCCCAGTTGCTCTGCTCTGCTCCAAGTTGGGTGTCCCCAACATACAAGTGGCTCTGCTTCCCCAACAAGTTCCTCAGTTCTCTGAGGGCTGAGTTCCTCTCCCCAGAGCCCAGGATGGATCCTTCTCCCCTGCACCTAGATTTGAACCATTTCTCCACTCCTTTCCTTGCCCTCAGCACCACAGTGCACCTTCTCCTGCAGCCACCCACCCTACAACTGCTGCCAGGGCCAGTTGTGGGGCCTGGCATACCTGGCCCATCCTTTGATGTATGTCCTTTGCCCTGTGCTGACGTTACGTAGGAACTCTGAGTGCAGGCTTAGAGCTACCTCTCAGAAACCCTTGTCCAAGAGCGTGACATGAGTGATGCTTATGCCAGATCACCCGTGCAGGTGATCTGGGCTGCTGTTGTGACAGTGGGACAGCTGCTGGAAGAGGGGAGAGGAACACAGCTTTGTGAGGTGGGAGTTGCAGACCTGTTTTAAGGAAGCTTTTTGGGGCAACTCTCTGCTTTTCTGCTTCCCATGTTTTCCAGGGGAATCTGGCATGTTTGACTGTAATGTTCATGGGAAAAATACTCTCATTGTTACAATGAGAGGAAACAGTTGTTTACTCAGTTTTATATTTGGAGGGATATTTGGGCTCGAGGAAATGAGGAGAGGGAGAGAAAGAAGTGAAGCACAAGAAAGCAGTTTGGAAAAAGGGAAGGCTTGAGGGGATCTTATCACTGTGTATAAATATCTGACAGGAGAAATGGAGCCAGCTACCAGGTATCTGGTGACGGGACAAATTGAAATACAGGAAACTCCATTTAAACACCAGAGGGGCAGCAAAAAAAAAAAATCTTTTGACATGAATGGGGTCAAACACTGGAACTGGTTGCCAGTTGTGGTGTCACTATCCTTGAAGATACTTAAAGCCAAGTGGACACAGTCTGGGCAACCTGCAGTAGCTGACCCTGTTTAAGAAGGGGCATTGGACTAGATGGATCTCCAGAAACCTCTGCCAACCTCACTGACCCTTCCTGCTTCTTCTCCCAAATATTTAGCTTAAGATGTACGCTTCGTGCTTGTCTATAAGGCCTGAGTTTCCTCTTCCCACCATACTTAATGGATCCTCCTCCCCTGTGCCCAAATTGCTAAATGTTACTATTAGTAAATGTTACTGTCCTGAGTTTGCTCAACGATTCTCCGGTGATCAGCTGAGAGGGTAAAATCGCAAGGACCTGACCCACTAGATTACCAGCCCCTGGATTAGGGACCAGGTGTCCTGTGCCAAGCACCAAACCTACCGGAGGCTCTCTGTAGACTGGGAGACCTGCAGACCTGGGCAAGGAGGGAGAGGCTGATGAACTGCACAGCACAGGTTGACTGTGCATTCTGCCTGCCCTATTTTTCTACTGTAGCCTTGGGGCCTTGAACGTTTTATTTAACTTAGATCTTTTAATTCATCAGCTTTTAAATTTTTTTTTTTCCTCTCCTTAATGGGCTTGCTCTCCTGTTGCTCATTTGAAATCGATGAGCAGCTGGATCCAGGCTGCACGCGGCTTTCGCGCACACACGATCCAGGGAAGCAGACCTCAAGCAGTGCTGATTTTCAGCTTGTCCCCAGCGATTCAGGGCTCGGCGAGTGCTGCTCTCTGGGCATTACTGAGTCGGGGAGAAGGAGGAGGGGGTTTCTGCAGTGTGCATAAGCAGGAACTATCCGTATTGAAAGCTAAAAGCAAGGGCAGGCTAGGGCTTTGCCTGGGGTTTGCGGGAGGCTCCGAGTGAGTCCGCCGCGTGGCTCAGCCGTCCCTCTCCGTGCTCATCTGTCACTGCCGGTCTTTGTCTCCCTCCCTGCCTGCCCCTTTGTCTGGCTCCGTCTCTCGCGCTGCCTCTGCCCTGCTGCGTGCGCGCGGCCTGCGCCCAGCGTGCCTCCAACGGCTCCTTCCCTTCACCAGCTCCAGCAGTGGAAAGCCTTTGAAGAGGAAAACCAAACTGTGAGCCACATGGCCAAGTATTTCACCAGCCCGAGCCGGAGCTGCCACTCGGCCTGCAGCGCAGAGCAGCTCTGCCAGATGATGGGGGAGAAGAGCTCCATGCAGCGGCTGCTCTTGGAGGTACGGGGGGCTTGGCCCCAGCTGTGTGCCCTCCCTGCCCAGCTCCTTCTCTGTGTGGAGGAGACCCATTTGCTTTTCTGACCTGTTTGCTTTTAAATCCTCAGCGTGCCTGTACCCTTTGCCCGTGCTGGGCTTGACGTATTTATTTGTTTAACGCAGAAAAACGCCGTGATCGAAAGCCTCCAGGAGCAGGTGAACAACGCCAAGGAGAAGCTGATGAGGCTGATGGCGGCCGAGTGCGGCTGCGCGCCGGCGCCTGAGGCGGCCCCATGCGCTGCCTTCCCCTCGTGGTGCCGGAGCGCGGGTGGGCGGCGCGGTGGCGGCGACGGGCTGCCCATGGAGCGCTGTCCTGCTGAGCCGGCCGGCTGGCAGGCTCCCGGTTTGCCGAGCACGCCGCGTGGCCCGGTGCCCTGTGGCATGCAGGAGTGCGGGGGTGATGCTGAGGAGCTCCAGGGAGCCGTGAGCCCCGCAGCGCCTGAGGAACCCGCGTGCTCTCAGGCGCTGCTCTTTGATGTAGGGGAGGGCGTCCTTGAGCACAGCCCCAAGGCTGTCCCCGAGCAAAGAGTGTCCCCATGGACCGGGCACCCTTTGCAGCAGCTGCCGGGTCAGGAGCCCTCAGCTGCGGGCAGGGGAGCAGGGCCTCAGGGAAGTGGTGGGGTGACCAGAGTCAACTACGTGAGCAGTGAAAAGCTACAGGAGATCTTGCAGGAGCTGAGCCTGGATAGCAAAATCAGCAGCCCGGCCTCACCTCGGGGGACCCCGCGAGGCAGCCAGGGCCCTCCTTGTGACAGGAACGACACGTGGGGAGCCCAGGGAACCTACCCAGACCCCTGCGCTCCCCTTGGCCTCGACCTGACGAGGCGGCAAAGGAGGCTCCCCCCGCCCGCCCCTTCCGCCTGCTTCCCCGGCTCCGTGTCCCCCCGCGCTTGGTGCATGGTGACCAAGGCCGTGAGCAGGATGCGAGGTGGGCCAAGTGCCTGGAGCCGCGAGGAGTCGGCACGCGTCTCTGCGGAGGAAGGAGATGGGACCAGCGGCAGGAGGCCCCTCGAGCACACGGCGCCTCCCGCCGCGGCCGTGAGTGCCGAGCTCAGCCCGCAGCCGGTGGCGCAGCAGGGCTGGCGCGAGCCCCGTGCCCACGAGACAGGCAGTGCCCTCCCAGCTGTGTGCCCAGCCCTTGGCCACGAGCAGCCCCGCGACGACTTCGTGCATCTCCTCGCGGCGCAGCGGGCTGCTCCCAGGGAGCCGGCGCAGCCCTTGCCGCGCTCGCCGCGCTACTACCCGGACTCCGACTCCAGCAGCAGCTCCGAGGAGATGTTTCACTGCTGCCACCGGCCCTACTGCGAGCTCTGCTTCCAGGGCCCGCTCGACTCCCTGGACAGCAGCAGCACGGACACGGAGCCGGGCGGCTCTGCGGATTCCTGGGCAGAGCATCACAGCAGGCCTCAGCCCGTAGTGAATTTCAAAGAAGATCTGAAACCCACTTTTGTATGACTGCCACCATGCTAGCCCAAAGGCAAGCATCACCCCTCTCCCAAAACACACTGTGTTTTAAACCATACAAAAGAAATACATCCCCTTGAGGGAAGTGTGTTGCGCCCGGATTCAGGTGTAGGAGACCAATCTTAAGTCTCTCTAGGCAGCTCTTCCAGATCCAGGCTCGGACTGCGGATCCTGCTTGTCCGATAAAGGGTTAGCAGCCCTCTGAGAAAGTGGCCCGTGGTTTCATCCTGGCTGCTCGGAAGAGCTGCCTGTGTCCTACAGACACCGAGCTGCTCCCCATCCCAGTGGCCCAGCAGAAAGCCGCGGGACTGAGGGGACTGTAGAGCTGGACTTCATCTCGGAGAGATCCCCTGGTTTCTTTGCCACACACAGCAGGCAGACAGACGGAGAGAGGACTTCTGTTCCCCAAGGCCGGTGCTGTGGAGCCTCCCACCAGCCCTACTTGCAACTGGAGCCTGGGAACCAGCAGACTTCAGGAGAGCTTCAGTCCGCTGCTTGCCTGGGATGTGCCAGTCTCTCAGTGGAGGAAGGAGCTCCAAGTGCACATGCAAGACTTGCTATATTTCTATTGTTTGTTTGTTTTTCTTTTTGTAATATCTGAGAAAACAGAGTCCACAGGTGACTTCTTCAGAGGTGACTTTGCATTTGGTATAGTTGAGGCACTCAGTGGTAGGTTAGACTTGGGGCAGAGCTGAAGGGAAAGAAAAGCTGAACATCTGAAAAGAGGATCTGCAATTTGTTGTTGTTTGTTTGTTTGTTTTTCTAAGGCTTGTGCCCTTTGTGTATCTTTGTGGTGGATGAAGGAGCCTGGAATGATTTAGGTTGTTTACTATTGTCTGCTCTATTTTTATCTTAGAAATATCAAGAATAGTAAATCTGGTGTGCCTGCTTTTGTTGGATGTTTGTGAAAGCATTTCGGCATGCATTTACCTTCACAGAAGAAGTGCTGAGACTTGAGGTTCAACGCCTAAGGACTGCTTTAAAAGGATGCTTTTGTGGAGAGGTGATAAAAGAAGAACTATAAATCCAACTTGGATAGAAGTTAACAATTTCCTCTCAATTATCTCTTATGATGGTGAAACCCTGATCTTTTGTATCCATGCACCAGTGTCTCCTCTTTTCCTCATTACCTTCACAGGTTTCCCCGGCTTACTGAAATCTGTATTTCTAAGACACATCTCCAAAATCAATAATCTTAGGGGGAATAACATTCTCATAGCCCCTCTTTGTTCCCAGTCTGGAAACACTCCAGAGGGTGATCCCAATTTCATTTGTCATCTTTAACTAACAGAAAGCAATTTCCTTTGGTTCTTCTTTCACACATGTCTGGGTATTTACAGCTTGAGGGCTGCATGGTCAGCTTTGCCCTGGGTGAGATGTGTTGTTTGGGTGTCTGCCACGTTTGCAGTGCAGATACACAGCCCAGGCCACAGCAAAGGTAGGGATGGAAATGTGGAGTGTTTCCAGCGATCCCAGCACAGGGAAAGACTGCACTTTCTGTCCTTGCTGCCTTCTCTGAAGCAGAAGGGATGTTGAAGAAATAGGAGGGGACGGGATATTCTACAGCAATCCCCTTAGCCTGGCAGTCCAGAGGCTTTTTTATCTTCTGGACCCACAAGATCTTCTGTGCTCCAGCAAAGCAGCACAGAGCTCATACGGCAATGGAGAGAAGGCCACAAACAGCCAATCCTCTTGGCCTCGAGAGAGCGCAATGACTGGGTGAATGAGCAGAATGCAGAGAAGAGAGTGAGTTCACAGCGACTGGTATTTTATTTATAGCCATCATTTCTCTGACAGGCTGGGGCTTTACCTGGCCCCTCGGGAAGAGGCTTCAGCTTTGTGACGTGTGGAGTGGGGAGCCCTCGGGGTGAACGCAGCCCGCGCAGTCCTCGGCAGCGGCCTCTCGCTCCCCTTTCCTGGCAGGCGTGGGCAGCGCACGCAGCCGGAGAACATGACCAAGCACTTTCTGGGCCTCAGTCAAGGGCACTGCAAGGGTCAGCCAAGCTTGCCGTGCGTGAGGTGGAGGGCACAGGCCCATGCAAGGGATGCAAAAGCCAGTGCAGATCTGGAGGGAGCCCTGCCAGCTTTGGGCAGTTTGCTGGCCAGAGCTTATGTGCTGGAAAGCCCGGGCATCTCGGAGGTGCTGTCAAGGCCCTGAGCTGCTGCTTTCATGCCAGGCAGCAGGACGTTTTATTTTGGTGAGGAACAGATGCTGCTTTCCCAACGTGTGCAATTGCTTTCCTGGCCCGGGGCAGCTGGAGAGGAGGCAAGGCCTGCCTGCAGTTTTGCAGTGCTTGCAGTAGAGGCTGCTGCTGCAGCAGCAGCTCGGGGAGCCGGGCTGCCCGCAGCCTTGCCCAGAGCCTCTGCATGTGGGAGGGAGCAGGGGCTGGCAGTGGGCAGCAAGGCCCAGCTCTCCTCCCTGGGCCGCTCCTGCCCACTGCGAAGGCTGCGGAGTCATACCCAGAGCTGGGCTCTGCTCCTGCTGCGTCGTACCCGGAGCTGGGCTCTGCTCACGTGCAGCCAGGGCCCTCCTGGGAGAGGGTGCCGGTGTGCCGGAGGAGCAGCAGCGCTGGGAAGGAGGGAAGCCCTTTCCAACAGGCAAGGATAAGGCTGGAGCCCTGCATGCGTGCAGAGGGAGGGCACTGCCTGAGATGCATAGGGCGGGCCTATAGAAGCACAGGCAGGTAGGCAGTCACTCGCATGCGCCCTGCAGAGCAACGTTCAGTCTCCAGACTGAACCAGCGGGCAGGGCAGATGGGCTGGGCTGCCCTGGGGATCTCACTAAATCAGAATAAGCACTGGAAAACTGCAAGGCAGCGTTGGCTCCTCCCGCCACTCGTTTCCGCCACTCCTGAGTGTGTGGAGATCAATAACGTGGTCTGAGGCTAGGGCATGTCACCATGGTTATAGGAAAGGATCAAACGTTAAGCCATGCGGAAGCAGCCGATATAAAAATTAACTTAAAATCCATGAGTGAATGCAGAAAAATCCTCTGGAGGACTTTGAACCTTCGGTTTGTTTGGAAACCCACCTCTGGAATTTGGGGCAATTGTTTTTTCTCTTGCTCGTCAGGGGCAGCTACGGTCTGAAAACTGTGCGTGTGAACACACACATATTTTCCTCATGAACACAGGAGGATGGTGTCCGCATGTGGGCACACACAAAAACTCCTTGCTCTTGACACCTCCCGAACATAGCTGCCTCCCCTCTCGAGGAATATGCATTTGGTTCAGGTGGGGTTGCAGCAAAGCACCACGTAATGCAGAGGCTGCTGACACGTGAGAAGGCCAGAGTGAGACAGTGGGGTGCCTGCAGTTCCCGTTATTATTATGGGATCTTTGCAGCAGGCAGGCCCAGAGAAGAGTCTTTGTGCTGATTCTCTTTAGGCATCGGGCTTGGGCATGAAGTTAGACATTCGGTTCTCCTAGGCTCTTCGTACAGTCTTTGAAAGAGCCTGTATCCCCCACTAAGCTGCTTAAAGCACCTTAATCGGGGATTTGCCCTGAATACGAGGTTTCTGAATAGCCGCAGGGGACAGCAGTGCACAATCCAAAGTGACAGGAGCCAAGTGCAAGGGTGGCAGCGGGACAGGGAGGGCTCGCAGTTAGGACTGAAGGCTCTGGAGGAGCCTTTTGCTTGTCAGTGATTATGGACCTTGGGGACCTGCAATATCAGTATCCAAAGGGGGAAATTCCTGCTCCAAAGACTGTGCTGTCTAAATCTGTTCCCCTCGAGAAGGGGTGTTCTTCCACATTGCTCAAGGCAGAAGCCACCTTCTTATGGAAGTCAAGATGAAAGTGATTGGAAGAAGGATCCATGCCTGCTCCCAGGTGGGTGCGAGACTTGCTGTGAAGGGGCTGCTGTGCTTGCTGTCCTTTCAGTCACGTGAGAAACCCCAGCCAAGGCAATCCGGTAACTCCTGATACCAGCATGTGCTCTCTTTCCAAGCAGTACTTGCCAGCAGAGAGATTTCTGGGTTTTGCTGCCCAGAGAGGTTGTGGAGTCTCCTCCTCTGGAGATCTTCCAAACCTGCTTGGACGCAGCCGTGTGCCCCGTGCTCTGAGTGACCCTGCGTGTGCAGCGGGGTTGGACTGGATGATCTCTAGGGGTCCCTTCCAACCTCAACCATGCTGTGATTCTGTGATTTTATGGCCCACAGGGCAGTTGCCTATGTCAAGCACTAATACCATGAGGCCCTCTAAATAGCTTTTGCTGATGGGTCCATGTTTTCAAGTGTTTTCTTACTTTCTTCTCTGCTAGTTGTGCATCACCTAGCTTCATGACTCTACTGCTGTCTGCAAACTACAACGCTCTGAGGAAGAGCTGAACCTGCTTAGCCAGTGGGCTTGAGCCCGGCCCTGTGTAATGAGGCAGAAGATGCTCCACAGAGGATCATGCAGAGCTTTCCCCACACACAGGCCCTGCTCACCAACGTTTAGAAACTCCGCAGCCCGCGCCAGCTTCCCACCTCCCCCAGCAGGGCACCTAGACCTTCTCCTTGTGCTCAGGAAGGGTCACGTCGCAGCCCGCATGACGTGTCTGTGCCCATGTGCCCACTGGTGCTGGGCCCAGCTTCCCTGCAGCCTGGGGCTGGGTGGGATCCCCGGGCAGGCGGCGCCTTCCCGCCTCGGGGCCCTTCCGCAGCGTTTGCCTGCCCGCCCGCGCGCTGCCTCCGGCGCTCCGTCAGCTCGCAATTACGTAGGAAATGACAAAATTGCTCCTGATTATGATTCAGCTGCTTGGTTTTAAATAAATAAATAAATGAAAGGCCATGTTAGCTCCCAGGAGAGTGGAATAAGCCAGGCGCTGTGGGAGCAGAGCACCGAGAAGAGGGTTGAAGCACTCTCTTTAGGACAAGGGGTAATGGGCATAAGCTGAAACACAGGCAGTTCCATCTCCAGGTGAGGAGGAACTTCACTGTGAGGGTGACAGAGCAGTGGAACAGGCTGCCCAGGGAGGCTGTGGAGTCTCCTACTCTGGAGGTCTTCAAAACCCTCCTGGATGCCGCCCTGTGCCACATGCTGTAGGTGTGCCTGCTTGAGCGGGAAGGTTGGACTAGATGATCTCTAGAGGTCCCTTCCAACCTTGAATATTCTGTGATTCTGTGATTCTGTGAAGCGTTGTTGCCTTTGCCTTAAGTGTGTTAACAGCAGCAGCTGAACTCGGAGGGGAGAGAGCTTCTCTCTGAGCGTCGAGGCCAGGGACAGCTATCGGACGTGGTATTAGAAGATGCTGCGGGCGGGAAGCGCTCGGTACGCGCTGTGCTGCGCCTGCCTCGTGACACTCCCGAGCAGCGTCAGTCTGCAGAGCCCAGAAACCAGCCCTGCAGTGAGCAAGCGGGAGCAAAACCCATCCTAAAGCAGCCTGTCTCTCCCCTTCTCCCCTTGGTCATGCCCACCTTGGCCTCTACCTGGAGACGGTACTACTGAGGCTGCAGCTGCTGCTGTTGCCCCTAAGGGCTGT